AATAAGGCAAAAAAAACTTTCTCAAAGGCGTTTTTTTGAAAAAAACCAAATTAAAAAAACCAAAAAAAAAAAAAAAAGAAAGAAACATCATCCTATCACCGAAACCTTTTATGAAAAAAGTTTTTTTTTTTTTTTTTGGCATTGGCTTGTTTCCAGTAAGCAAATTTATTTTCAAAATGTCAAATTGCGCAAATGTGTCCAGTGGAAATGCAGCTAGTGACCATATTCTACAGGAACATGTCCTGTAGGCAAGCACTGCTAACCCATCTCATTTGCTTTTGCTACTTCTTTTTCAGTCTGTCTAGCTGTATCATTAAAGAGAAACATTGAAGTCGGTGATATGATCTTTGCCTATTATGATTGATGGAAGAGATGGTTAAAATATTATTATTCAGAGGTCACAGTAAATTATTAGTCCTTTTAATTCAGCTAAAAGTCTGTTTTTTCCTATTAGTGGTGGTCAGTACATCACATTTATATCTATCTCAACAAAAACACACAGTATTATCTCAAAACATGTTTTGAGTGCAATTAGTTTTGACCAGAAGTGTCACACGGAAGTTTTACAAGGTTGTTTTAGGATAAACGCTACTTAATATTTTATACCCATTATAAGCTCCATTAGAAATTTCATTATTCATACCAAGGAAACGCAACACAGCAGTGATTGATTTTATTTCTCTATGAACATGTTCTGATGTTGTTGTGTTTGTATTCAGGCTGCAGGAGGATCCTCCAGCTGGAGTCAGCGGAGCCCCGTCAGAAAACAACATCATGGTTTGGAATGCAATAATTTTCGGGTAAGTGAATCAGATCAAGTCTAGGTCATCAGCTGTACAGATGTACCCTTCCTTCAGTGATCCTAATCGGTATTCATCAGACTGTGTTGGAAAATTTTGTTTTTCCTGTCCGAAAACGCAACAATGAGGTCATTTTGTGTCCATTTTCAAGTAATGCAATGGAAATGGGATAATGATGCTTTCAATTCTGAGGAGCATTTAACACTGAAACTACAAGACATTATAAATATCCAAAGTAAATAAAACAACAAATACAAATAAGATGAATTATTAAGTCTCTGAAAATAAAATTATCCTTCAAAAAAAGAAATGGTTGAGACCAAAGCACCAGACTGAAGACTTTTATCATTCAGTTTTTGATTGAAAGAGAAAAATTATAAATCATGCAAGAGGAAATTATTGAGCTTGTTTTAAATTATCATGCGATTAATTAATCGCTTATTGCAACAGGCCTAGCAATTACCACAAAAATTGTATGCAAAATTTAACATCATTTATTTTATTTGAAACAAATGGCTTTGTTCTAAGGCATTTGTTTTAATCACACTGTACATGTGATTATACGGTGATAATCACATGTATTTACGCTTTTTGGTTTAAATAAAAAGACCTGAGGAAAAAGTTTAGAATAAACGTGCACTAACAAGCTTATAAATTTAATTGTTCAGGCTTTCTCCTTGTGGTTTGCTAACTTTAGTGCATTTATTAAGAGTGATTGGTTGCACTTTTTTAGTGTCTGCACCATGGCTATCCACCGAAAATATTTCCTAATAGCTAGCTGAAAATCGGTATCGACTGTAAAGAAAGAAAGAAAAAAACAATTGGTGCATTACTAATAATGATAATAAGTAGTAATTGTTTGAGGCTGCCATTTATATGAAAGTATGAAATTAAAATCCTGATGTTTATACTTGGTGTTAAGACTTGATAATAGCAAATGATGCTAAGAACAAGTGACTGCTAAAAAACAGAAGCAGTGTGTGGAAAAACTGCTGCATTGATTCCAGATGAATTTTGGTTGAGTCTTTCTAAAGGTATTTTTGCTCGTCTGGATCAAAAAAATGTTTAACAGAATGCCAAGAAGGAAAGAAAGCTCCAGCTAAAATATCAGAGAAGCATTTGTTGCTGATTTTCAATTGCAGATGTTAATTAAGGTGATTTCCAAACCAGCTGAAGTCACAAATGGACTTTCGCCAATCTCTATTAACCAGGCCATTGAACTTTGTTTCTTTCACTCTGCAGTTAGGTTTTTATGCAACACTCTTTTATATAACAGTTATATGGTGTAATAACAGATATCCATGTAATGTCAGAGGAAAACAAACTTTTACTGCTGACACTGGGATTTGCAAGACATTTATAAAATGATATATAACATATCTGGTTTCTTGTTTTTGTAGGCCAGAGGGAACACCTTTTGAAGATGGTATGTGTTTTCCACTTATTCATCTTCTTAAAACAGAAAAAAAATACTTGGTTTGCTCAAAAATAAGTCTTTAAATTGTTGTAAATATTACACACAGAGATAAAGTTGGTATCCGTTTGGAGAATTTTAATAAAACACAAAATAAATTAGTTTTAGATCCTTAATTTCAGCTTATAATTTACAATTTTTTGCTTTCAGGAACCTTCAAACTTACCATTGAATTCACAGAAGAATATCCTAATAAACCTCCAACAGTGAGATTCGTCTCCAAAATGTTCCATCCCAATGGTATGTCAACATATCTTATTTTCTTAAATCTTAGATAAACTGAGAGCTTAAAGTAAGAAATGCTTTTGTTGATGTTTTCGGGGGGGTTTCTTTGCAGTGTATGCAGATGGCAGCATATGCTTGGATATACTTCAGAATCGCTGGAGTCCAACCTATGATGTTTCTTCAATCTTAACTTCAATACAGGTAATATAACTTTACAGAACCATAGTCGAGTAAAAAACCTCTAAGTCTGAACCGGAAGTGGTCTGAGCTACCAAGATGGCCGTCAGCTACAAAGTTACCAGAAGTGTGACATCACATGAGAACTACGTGAATACATTACTTACAGGAACTTTGTTGCTGATGGCATTCTTGATATCTGTAACTGTCATGAGTTGCTATAACAACAATAAGTCACAAGCTTAAAACTAGCTTTCACCTGGATCCTATCTAACTTGTAATGAATATAAGTACATTATAACTATTACTTGATTAGTTTCTGAGTGCTCTACCCACCTTTGTGTAATACTAAGAAATATCAGTGATATTTAGTACTTGCTGCCAAGCTAGCAACATGAGCTGAGTTTATGTAGCTTTTATCTGCAAGCTGAGACGAACATGTAGCCTACGTGTTTGTTACGACAGACTTGCTCTGCCAGTCACCAGAATGTTGTTATTCATGCAAAAAGTTTGTACATCCTTTACAAATCCGTTTAAACATTGATTGTGTGCGTCCAGGGATTTCAGGCTGGAAAGCTCCTCCATGGTGGTCACAATCTTCATGTTCTCTAAATGGTGAACTATTTCTTAGTATGAGATCGGAGGCAGCTTGTCCACATCGTCTGACATATTTTCATTCTCCGTCTCATACAGGTCCAACAGCAGCCATTTTGTTTATGTCTTTCTTTTGCTCATTGAGCAAGAGTGTCAAAATAGTTCCTTTTTATTGGTCTCAAACCCATGGCTCACTTGCCTACCAAGATGGCGGTTCAGTGACAAGGATCACTTCCGGTTCAGACTTGTGGAAGTTATGTCTTGACTTGAACACTAATTAGCTGATGTTCTCTGAATATATAGTCTTTACTGGATGAGCCAAACCCGAACAGTCCAGCCAATAGCCAAGCAGCCCAGCTTTACCAGGAAAACAAGCGGGAGTATGAGAAGAGGGTTTCTGCTATTGTTGAACAGAGTTGGCGTGACTGTTGACACCTAATCACCGGGCACGTGAACAGTGTGCACTGCAGAATCAAAAGAAACCACCAATCGAGAAGACATCAGAAACACAGATACGACAACACACCTTTTAAGATCCTCCGGTATACTTTGTCCCCTTACTGTTGCTAAGTTTGTATGCTGTAGTGCTGTGGCATTCACTGCTGCCAAATGCTGTTCGACAGGAGGAGAGTTAAAAGTTAATGTACCTTGTTATCTCTGGGTTACTTCCTATATGCCTGTTTTTTTTTCCCAACACTCAATAATCAAACCTCTTGGTAATTCAAACATTGGGTATGTAGGGCTAGGTGGTTTGGTTTGTAAATACTGCCAGTTTATATTCACAGAAAATAAAGCAGTTCATTTTCAATGGGCCAACAACATGAAAACCCCTCACCCCTTTCTTTTTTTGTCTGCACATTGAAAGCCTTGGAGGGATAAAAAAAAAAATTACCAACATGACTATCAGTCCCTCTTATTACTCAACAGATGCCTTTTGGGGTCAGTTTTTATCTTTTCCTGTACAGCCATCCCTTTTTTTGATTATAGAACCTGAGAAATATTAATAAACGTCTTACCTCCTGCTCCTCTGAAAAGCAGGATTTTAGTATCCTTACTGTTTTTACAGTTTCACAAGTTTCAACCCAGTTCACCTGCATATGTAGGTTTATCTTTTACCACATTCTGGAGGGTGCATTACTTTTTTATGGGTTAAGAGCTATGTGAAAACATTTATATGCTATTTTACAATCCTATAACTATCAAATCTGATTACACTTTGGCAAACATTGGTGTCTTTTCAGAATACACAGCACTGGTAACCCATGTAACAAACTGTACATTCTCTTGTAAATAAAATAAATATGCAACTCTTCGTGATGACTTTTTACATCACAGTACATAAACACAAAGGTATCTGAAGGTTTCAACAAGTTAAAATATGTAATGCTTCTTATCTGCGATATTGTAAATACCCCATAGTGCCAAGCTAAGGTTTTGTTTTTGGCACAGAATCCAAGTAATATCTTACGGTTTTGAAACTGACGGAGAACTCAGGTTATACTAAGAAAGAAAATATACCAGAATAAACTCGTCTGATACGTCATATTACTAGAATAAAATCGAAATAAGAGTAAAGTAATATCTTAGCTTCTTTCTGCAAATGTAATTGTGTTTTCTAAGTGTGGTTATAATACTCCGTCGTACGAAGCAGAAGTGAGCAAGTGGCGAAAGCAAGCGATAAATTTGCACTTATGATCGACGCAGAAAAGCTAACTTGCTAGCTCGTTAGCATCTAGTTAACGGTAGAATCCATAGAATAAACCATAAACCGCCTCGAGACACAGAACGTAAGGAAGATTTCTTCGGGGGGGTCAAACATTTGCCTGACAGAAAAGTCCAAGATAAAACAAATATAACCTTTATATATTAGATTAAGTAGCCTTAACACTACAACATTTAAGGCCTGTGATTAAAGTCAAATCAATTTTTAAAATTTTAAGGCCTTATTTGTAAGATACATTTAAGACTTTTTAAGGATGCGCAGCGTGGACAACCTGAACACAAGTAAATATCAACCTACAATACTCAAATGTTAGTTTAAAATAGTTAAACTAGAATATGCTTGTTACAGCTAATAAAAACCACAAATTTGGATTCTAAACTTAATGTGAAATATTAGCTTTTCAAAGTCTTAAGATGACTTAAAAGACTTAATAAGCAGCAACAGTCTCAGGAAAGGCACATTTCTGTATTTAAAAGGTTTTAAAATTGATGTAATTTCCTTTGAAAACCGGGTTTTCATTTTCTGTAAGCCGTAATTAACTAAATGAACAAAAGTAAATATCACTGTGTGATAAATCTGAGTTTAACTTTTTGCAATGGAACAAATTTTTCATTGACTTTCTAATTTATATAGATCTGCATACATATCTGAATTAAATTCAGCTTGTTGATTATTTTTCATTTATTTATTATTTACAGCTGTGAAAACAAGCAGACAGGTTAAGTGTACTGATACAAACAACCATCTAACAATTAAGACCACAGATTCTACATAAACATTATTTTTGGGATCACTGATGCAGCTGGCAGAATGATCTCCTGTAACTGAACTGAAAGCAAAAACTAATAAAAAAATGAGAACATTCCTGAATACAGGTGCATTACCACAGTAAGGCTGGTATGAATTTAGCTACAGTTAAGATTTTAATGCCGCTTTAATCCAGGTCTTACATGAGTGAACCCTCTACAGTGTTTCCAAACAATGAAAAGCTGCGTACTCTGCCGGGTTCATTAAACAGTCAAACAGAAACGTTCAAGAAGCCAATTTTTAAAAACTGAATATAACTGAACGAGTTATTTTCAGCAATAAAAAAACTTAAAAGATGAGATCTGGAGACGGAAACTACTCACGCTCCAGTCAGCTAACAGTGAAGGAATGTCAAAAAATATTTTGTTTTTTAGATTTGCTGAAACATGTTGCAAATTTGTCCCACGCAAATATAAAATGGCAGGTACATTTTCACGGCAAAAACACCAAATGTTACCAGGCATTTTTGGTCTAGTTTCTACATCTGAAATAAGACAAAATAGCTTGCAAGAAACTTTTCAGAAAAACATAGCTTAAGTAAATAATTCTTTATTATTGATGAAAAAGTGCTAGTTCCACTAGCAGATTATTTCACTTATAACATTTTTCCTCTGTTATAAGTGAAATAATCTGCCAGTGGACTTTGTAGTTTCTTTTAAATCAATATTAAGGAATTATTTACTTAAAATAGGCTCCTACACACTGCCGAAAAGCTACTTCTATGATTGGGTGATATGAATTAAAAATAAAATCAGATTTTTTCATACTAAATCTGATTTCAATCAATTTTTTCTTATTTTCTAAGAAAAGAAATTACAAATAACAGAAAATATTTTCAAAAGTGGTTTTTATTTCATCGTCTCTTCTGTGAGTTGTACAACAGAGTATTAGGGCCTGGCTTACAAGAATGTTTAATTCTGAGAATATAGTTGTAATATTAACAGAATAGACACAATTTTACCAGAAAACGTCGTAAAATTAGGAGGAAAATAAAGCTTCAAGATCTGTCGTGACCAGCTGTGATTCGTCTTAGTTTCAAAGTCCTGCTGCTGATTGCAATTTGATGCTGATAAGTCAAAAGATTAACTCCTTACTTACCTGTGAAACCATTTCCAAATTGTATTTTTTTTTTGAGTTCTCATAAAATTACGACTTTGTTCTCCAAATATTATGACTTTATTACCATAATTAAAATAAATCATGAACTGGCCCTAATATTCAGCCGTAAAACATACTTGTCAAACAAAATGGCCGCCGCTGGCATCACTCTGAACTGTGGAAACTTAAGGAGTAAATCGGTGAAAAATAAATAAAAACCCCAGATTTTCCAAAAAATTAAATCTTAGTTTTGTCTCATTTCAAATATGTTAAAATATCTAGAAACTAGACAGAAACACTTGGTGACATTTTGTGTTTTTGCGGTTGGACCCGATTCAGACGGGGCATCAGCGTTGGTCCTGGCTAGTCGGATCACATCTGGTTTCCCTCAAACTGCGTCTCCCTTCTCACGTCACGCTTCCATAAACACTCATATTGAGCTTTTATTTATTTATTCTAATTTTTTTTCCAATAGGATGGAAAGAAAATATTTCTGTAATGACTTTAAGAACAAGAATCAGGTGCAGAAGTTTGAACTAGTGCTGAGGGTGTGGCTTAAAAATAAAATAGCCAATTTTTTAAAACCAAAATTAGATTTTTTTTCCCTTCCAAACAATGAAAAATACAAATGAAAGAAAATATCGGTAACACTTTATTTGAAGGGATGTGCATAAGACTGACACAAACATGACACAACATCTTTCATGAACATAAAGAAGTCTTTATGAATGTTTATGACAGTTGTCATGACGTGTCATTCGGTAAATAATGACACTTTTAATGCAAAGTTGCTCTAAAAGTTGCATTAAAATGCCAACTTTGCATGATTTTGTAAATGACAATTTAATGAAAAGTTGGCATTTTTAATGGACTTTCAATGCAACTTTTAGAGCAACTTTGCATTAAAAGTGTCTTTACTGAATGACACTTCATGACAACCGTCATAAACATTCATAAAGACTTCTTCGTGTTCATGACAGATGTTATGTCGTGTTTGTGTCAGTCTTATGCACACGCCTTCAAATAAAGTGTTACCAAAATATCTTAAACAACAACAACAAAAAAACTTATTTTAGTCATTCCTTCAGTAAGTTGATCTGAATTCAAAGTAAATGAAACAAACTAGTCAAACAAGATGGCCGCCCTGGGCGTGCTGACATCACTCTAAACCATGGAAACCCAATGGTGAAAATTACATCTTCAAAACCAGATAATTCAATTAACAATAAAACTGATTTATCGCCCAGCCCTAGTTTTAATTTAATTATATATTCAAAATATACAAACATGCTTAAATATTTGGTTAATTGTCCCTGAGTAAGTTGCAGAGAAATCACACTTCCTGTAGCATTCAAACTTCCTGCATGATGCTGGCTGGACTTTTGACCCGTCTTCTTTATTATGAATATTTTCTGTCATTGGCCTAGAACAGGGGTGGGCAATCCCGGTCCTCGAGGGCCGGTCTCCTGCAACTATTGGATGTCTCTCTGGACCAACACACTTGAGTCCAAAAGCTGAATCACCTCCCAAGTGCACTCTAGTTCTACAGAGTCCTGCTAACGATCTCATTATTTGACTCAGGTGTGTTTAAGCAGAGATGCGTCTAAAAGTTGCATGAGACCGGCCCTCGAGGCCTGGAGTTGCCGACCCCTGACCTAGAATGACCTTGAAATTGACCTTTCAGGCATAGTTCATGAGTTCTGAATAGGGCTGAGATCTTTCTCGAGCCTTGTTTTCCCTCAGCATGATGTTGCCACCACCGGTGTGTTCTTGTGTCTCAAAGCATCATCTTCAACTCTACACTACAAAAACACAAAATCTTACCAAGCATTTTTGCTCTACTTTCTACTGCAGATATCTTAGTACAATAGAAATGAGACAAAACTAACTTACAAGCCACTTTTCAGCAGGATATACAAGTATGATTTAAGAAAACAATTCATTGATGTTGATGAAAAGGTTCCTCGTTCCTCTGGTAGATTATTTCACTTATGGGAAAATGTCTGGTAAGTGAAACAATTTGCCAGTGGAAATAGTTGTTCTTTTAAATCAAAATTAAGGAATTATTTACTTAAAACAAGCTCATATCTTGCTGAAAAGTTACTTGTATGTTAGTTTTGTCTTATTTCACACATACTAGAAACTAGACCAAAAATACTTAGTAAGATTTTGTGTTTTTGCAGTGTAGCTCAAATCTTTGTCTCGACTGAGTAGGAAACGTAATTTAAAACTTTCTTCCATATTTGGTGGTTTTCACGGTTTCTGAACCTCCTAACCCATAACATTCCATGAGAGGCGGAACATTTTTAAGTGTAAGTGTCGGGATAAAGAGATTTTGAAAATATGTGGATTATACTTTAAAAAAAATGAGGCCAGTGGCAGAAAGTCATCTAATGTTAACGAACTATACTAATTCTACCAAGAGCGATCAGTTATCCCAGTAAAATTAAGCTAAAATGTCAATTAAAAATCAAAAAGCAATGTGTTTTTGTAATTAGCCAGATAATTACAAAATTTGAGCCAAAATGTATAATTCTTAATCCACAATAAATTCAAACTTTGTTCACCTAAATCTTGTTCTTTGTTGTGTTATTTTTCCTGAAACATTATCAATATAACAGCTAAACTAATGTTATTGTAACATTTGATGCAAACTGTGTGTAGAGCTACATGTGAAGCAGCTAAATGATCCCTAATATCAGGTATAAATGGTGACATTTAAAGCCAGGACGCATGCTGCCGCCATGTCCGAACCGGGCCTTGCTGTGATATGCTTTGAAGTCCAACTCGGAGGAAATTTCCAATTTATTTTCATGCAGTTTAATGAGACGCCTGAGGCTTGACGAGCTCGTACCGGCCCACCTGTCCTTCCTGTAAAAGCTGACCAATCAGCAGGTCTTTGTGTACTTTCCGACTGACGACCAGGAACCGGTCCCATCCCTGTCCGTAGGATTTGCTGCGCAGGCCGTATTTTTGGGAGATCTGGTGAATCTGCTTGCGCTCGTCGTCAGTGAGTTCGTTGGAGAAGCGGAGGTCGTCCGTTCTGTCCGAGCTGGCGTAGTTGCGGATGACGTCCTCGATGTCCCGCTTGCTGAGCAGGTTTCCTGTTTTAACCATTTCCATGCCCAGACCCTCCCTGGAGAACTGCTCCTTGACTCTGATTGGCTCAGCAATGCCGTCGCCGTCCCGGCCAAGGCCGCCGCCTTTCCAGCCCATCTTTCGCAGCAGCTGGTTTCCGATGTTGTCCTCCTTGATCTCCTGCTTCAGCGCTTCCTCGCCTGAGCGAGCGAGGATCTGAGAGCGGGAAATGGCGCCGTTGTGTCCCTCCTTCCTCAAGTTGGACTTGACGACCGCCTGAGTCTGTCGTAAGGTGGACAACGCCTCATTCGCCGCAATGTGCTTCACTAACTTCTTCGGCCCGATTCCCGCTGCGACGTACTGCCCTTCCAGGTAAACTTCGCACTTCCAGTGATGATCGGGCAAAACCGAGAATCTGTAATCTGCGGTCACTTTGTTAAACTGAGCCGTGTCATTGATGATGCAGATGGCATTATCGTTATTCTCCAAGATCACGAGCTCGCTCAGTTGCTTCTTTCTGACCCCAAAAGAATCGCCGTCTGACGGTGGCAGAAAGCTGTTGCCAGAATCCTGTGGATTATTTCTGAAGGACTGTTTCTGCCAGGGCTGCCGTTGTGCTTGGTTGAGGCGCAGCTTCCTTACGGCCTCCTCGGCGGCGGCATGTTTGGAGCTCTTCTTCGTCCCCGTCGCCTGCGCTATCAGCTCGTCCTGCAGGAAGATGCTGCACTGCCACAGGTTGCTGGGCAGCTGGACGAACTTGTAGTCAATCTTCATGCGGTTGAAGGCGTTGGAGTTGTTCAGAATGCAGATGGCGTCGTACGCGTTGTCCATCACCACAAACTCGGTCCAGTGCTTGTTTCGGTCGGGCTCGTGTTGGCCCTTGGAGCCCGGCGTTGGCTTGTTCTCCGGGTTTCGGAGCGCCGGCAGGAACGCCGGCGTTGGGCTGTGTGTCTGGCACACGACCATGTCGCTGACCACCAGGTGTCGGTATCGACGCTGCACGACGCGGACCTCCACCGGCTTCAGGAAGAGCTTCACAGCTTGCTCGGATGCGCGGTCTCTTGCGCCGTTTTTGCTGCCGGAGTATCCGGTTGCCAGATACACGCCCTGACATCTCAGTTCGCAGGCGTAGCCGTCCGTCGGCACTTTCCTGTTCTTTGGCAGGTCCGCCTGCGGGATATCCTTCAGGTTGACGTAAATGTACTCCGGGTTGGTCTTGCAGGCCTGGATGCTGCGGCTCAACATGAAGTTGTAGTTCGGTGAGTCGCTTCCTGTCATCAACACAGGGTTCCTGAAGGCGACAGACAACGCATTGGCAACACTGGTGATCAGCCTCTGCTTCTCCTCTAGCGTGGAGTGAGATATCGGAAGAGGCTTCGCGGTCTCTGCTGCTTTGGGACTAGCCGCGCTTGGGCTGCTGTAGACTCTGCTGAAAGGCCGATCCTGATGGCCGTAACCCAAACCCTGACGACCCAAATCCCAGCTGCTGGTTCTGCTGCCACCGCCACTGTAGCCATTAAACCTCTGCGGCTTCGAGTACGAGTTTAAGCTGTGTGAGGAGGCGTGCGCTACGTACTTGGCGGTGTAGTCCTGCTGCGTTTTCGCCATGTAGTTCGAAGACGACCCGCGGCCTCCATAACCCAGTCCACTAGTGCTACCTGAGGAACTGTCTCGGTCCTTGTGGGAACCCCAAAAGTCACCCGAGTGTGACGGCACTCGGTCGAAAGCGGGCCTGAGGGAGGAGAAGCCCTGCGCCCAGCCGCTGGCGGCGGAGTGGTGGGTCTCCCACGGTCTGGCGTCGTGCGACTCGCTCTTCCTGCGCTCCTTATCGTTCTCCTTCTCATCAGTGCCGGTTCCTCCGCTGCTCCCACCGCTAACAAAGTGCACAGGCTCAAACCGAGGTCGGGGTCCAAACTTTGTCAAAGGCATTTTCCTCATGGGTTCGTCTCCTGCAAAAACCCAAAGTCAGAACTAAACCAAAGGAACGCTGAGTTTCTGCTTATAGAACAATCTGTCTAAAGAAACCAGAAAGAGTGGAATAATTTCTACTTTTAAAATAATAAAATGTAACATTCCATCTTGTTTCAAGGAGCCTTCCATGTTTTATAGCTAAAAATGTTTAAAGTTGGCATGAAATTTGAAAATATCACTGGGTAATTATGTGTTATTAGAAGACATTAATAACACAAATAAAGCCTGAAGGCCCGCCAGGCTTATAATGCACTGGGGAAACCCTGAATAATGAATTTAATGTTATTTAATGTATTTTATTTAATGTATAAGTGCAGAAACTGGATAAATACAGTGAACCTGAGTGTGTGCTGTGAAGTAAACCTGCTGGACCTGAGACGAATATAGAAGGGTTACACAGAGTGGTCTATACAGTTTGAAAACAAAATAAACAACCCTGAAAAAAAATCAATGTAAAAAATTATATGTTTTTAGACAAAGCTACGGTTAAGCAAAAATAATGAGAAAAATTAAAATAATGTCAACACAACTCTGATAACTCACTGCCATCTGATGAAATGGGTCTCTTTTTAGCTTCAGAACCACCAGGACTTGGGTCAAAGGAGGGCATTTCGCCAGTGTAAGTCCCCTCTGCCATCACCAGGACTGTCCGAATCAGAACCGGGTCATACCTGTGACTGGAGCCAAACACCTACATGAGACCTCAACGTGTCTGAACACCACGAATGAATGACAGTCCATACTGTTTTAGCATGCTGCCTAAAACATGTATTAAACAATCGCTCCCATACACGGTTTTATAGTAGGCAGCTTTCATATTAAAATGCGGAAAAACAGCCGAACTTTATGTCAACATTGTGGTTTTACAAAGTGACGCAGTTCATGAATATTTCAGAAGTTGCCACGTTTAGCTAGCTAAATAACAATGCAACCTAAATAACACGTTCCTGAACAGTTAGTAAAGCAAAATTACCTTAAGGTGTTGAGCTTTGGTCCTGTAACACCTCTGTCATTTAACCAAGCAGAATCAAATGTTCAATATTTGTGATAAAAACCGGATATTATCCTGTGCTAGCCTCACCGAGCTAGCTTCGCTAATAGCATTAGCTACCTAGCTCACTCTGCTCCGCTTCGAAAGCGAAACTTTGAGTATTTGTAACGTCAATAAATCCATTTTGGTCTCTACTGAAACCAGTGAACACGTGTTTTCAACTGCGAGCTTTAAACAGCGGGGAGCCTTTCACATGTCGGCTACGCGTTTATCCAAGCAGGAAGCGACCATTTTCTAGCCGCATCCTCAGGAAAATCATGGCGCCTGTCTGAACATTGGCCCGTCAGGCTTTCCGTACTTCAGCCTGACATCTATAACTCTTTTAAATAATATAAACATACACTCTAAATTCCGTAAAGCAAATTTTTCTTCTGAGCTGTGAATCTAAATAATTTTCTCGCGTAATATCAGTTTTGCCTAGCCTCATGAATCAGGTTATTTACTTATTCAAATGTAATCAACTAAGTGTGCTTACTTTTGTTTACTTGAGTACAAAAATCAAGTAAGAATATTTAAAAATATTTTACTCAAGTAAAAATATAAAGTAGCCGTCCAGGAAATTACTTAAAAGTTGTGTGAACATTTTTGAATTTTAAAAACTAAGGTGAAAAATAATTCATATAAATAACAGATTTATAAAATAAAATCAGGAAAAAGAAAAATTTATTCAAGTTAATTTTAAAAATATGAAACAAACAAAAGCTGATTGTTAGAACAAGTTTGTTCTTCATTTAGTGAATTTATTCACTGTGGGTAGAGAATCCAGAAATTTTACTGAAGTAAGAGTAGAGATACGTAATAATAAAAATACTAAAGTAAAAATAAAAAGTACCGCATAATAAAGATACTCCTAAAAGTAATTTTTTTCCAAAAGGTTTTGTTAGTAAGTGTAGCTAGTTACTACTAAATCTGCGTTTTGTCTTGTGGTTTTTGCTTTATGTGTTTACAACTTAATATATTTTTTTTATATTTTTAGTATATTATTTTGTTATACATTGTTGTTTTTATTTCTTTTCTAATTTTTTGTATCTCCTTTTTTAGATTTCAAAAGAAGTGGAGATGGCGGAAGTTTGGGCGATACAGAGTTAAAAGTTTTATCAAAATATTTTGTGGAAATATTGTGATAACAGCAAAAGTGATGATAATATTTTTTGCTTCTTTTTAAGGTTACTATATGACCGTATGACACAGCAATTATAGCTGCAAAACTCAAATACTGCTCTTAAAAACAAACATTAACTTTCGTTAAGTAAACAGTAGAAGAAACAGTAAAACTAACAATCCACACAGTTTTGTAAGGGTTTACATGTCATTAATTGGAATTTATTGTGGCAGTTATAAATCAAAATGCTTATCATAATCACAAATTTGTCACCATAAATGATGCAATAAATGCCCATCCCTAAGTTTAATGCTAAAGTCAACAATAAATTATGTTCCAGTTGCCAAAACTTTGTTATATATTAAAGTGTTTTTTGCAAGTTCAAATACAATTTCTTCCAAGTATTTAGACTTTTTTTTATTCAACAGAAACATCCGACAAAATCCAACAAAATCCCGGCAAATAAAAGACAAATGCATTTCTATGTTGGATTCATTTTTTTATTCAAAATGTACATCAATGGAATCAAACTAAAGCAGAATACTGAATCATTTGCAGTGTAATAGAGGTTTTAACAACAAGAGGTGAAGGCAGATACTAGGAAAAAAAACAAAAACATGTATGGCAACTGCTGACACCAAAATGTCACTTTTAAACTTCAAAGAACCACATCCAAACATTATAGGTAATAAACAACAAATCTCCACTTCAATACACAAAATATATCCTTATAAATTATATAAATGCACGAGTATTTTTAATACTCTTCATCTGGGTATCTGTTCAACTCATTTGGCAAAGTGGGAGCTGAAATCATGGGACAGAGCAAATATACAATGATTAAACGCATCATCATTTTCTTTTTAAGAAAAACATCAATGAAGGGAACAGATGGCAGAGCTCAGATGTTCAGGGAGTAAAAACCAGAAAAATCACAGCAGTTATGAAACTTAAATAAAAGATGCATGCAAAATATGGAGTAGGCCAGTTAATGTTAAAGCACGACGTGTAGTAAAAGCCCCTCGCATGTGACCTCCATGGTATTTAATGAAGATACCTGAACATGGGAACCGCAGTAAATGCTTTGGCGTTTATATGACCAGTTTGTTTTCAAGTGGATTTTTTTTTTGTTTTCTTTGAAAGAAAAAAAAAGAAATTTCTACTCATTTATTCAAGATTTTGTCCTTTGATTTAATGCGTTTTACATTTTGAATGAGTGCATAGTGCAGGTCATGTTGAATTTAAATAAAAAGATCATGATTTTACCCGTGAGTCCTGAAAATGTGTGAACCCCCTCCTGAAATCCTCTGCTAACCATAAGAGTTTCTCTATGTACATTAAGACATAACAGCAGATTTTAATCTGTCCCTGATTTTAGAGCTTCACTAGGTGGTCAGAAATACCATGCGAGTCCACATAAGGCCGTATCAAACAAAAGGAAGATGCGATGCAGAGAATAGAAAGGCTGACACAACGAGAAATGAAAAGCAGGAAGAGGTAAAGGGTGCTTAGTTCTTGCTGAAGCTGCAATCCCCTCTTCAGGTGGCCAAGACAGATTAAAAGAAGCTAAAGAGACAAAGAGAAAACAAAGCCGGCGGTTAGAGCAGAGGGCAAAACATCTGCAGAAAAAGAGTCAAAGTGAGCCTGAGCAAGAGAAAGTTTAATATAACTTAAATCTGAACACAGTTTTCTTACCTACACTGCAAAAACACAACATATTACCAAGTATTTCTGTCTAGTTTCAAGTCCAAATATCTCAGTGCATTTGAAATAAGACAAAACTAACTTGTCAGTAACTTTTCAGCAAGAAATAGGCGATTGTTTTGAGTAAATAATTCTTTAAAATTTATGAAAAAGTTCTAGTTCCACTGGTAGTTTATTAAACAAGAATGTTTTCCCATATTATAAGTGAAATACTTTTTCATCCATATTGAAAAATTATTTACATTCCTATAGTTTACTGGAAAGTTACTTATTTTGTCTTATTTCAAGTACTAAGATATTTGCACTGGAAGTTAGACAGAAACACTTGGAAATATTTTGTGTTTTTGCAGTATGAATTTTGGTTTGATGAAGAAAAAAATCTGAATTGTGAGAAAAAATGTCAAAAGTGAGATTTAAAAAAAGAATCTGAATTCTGTGACTGAAGTGAAAAAAAAGTTAGAAATATTTTTTGGGAATACATTTTTTTATCTTGGGGAGAAAAACAAAATTCCTATTAGAAAAAAGCCAAAATTGGGATTTATGTAAGAATTCTGGTAAATTGGAGAAAAGAAATTAAGAACATTTTCAAAACTGAGATTAGAAAAAAAATGAATTCTGTGAATGAGGGAAAAAAAAAAAAAAGTTTTAATTTTGGGGAAAAACAGAATTCTGAGAAATATGCTAAAATTCTGGAGGGAAAAAGTCTCTTTTTTTCCCCCAATGGTCCTAATATTCTATCATAAAATATATATTTTACTGGTAATAAATAAAATAATAGAAAACCTGCTTTCTGTATTTATTCAAATGATTATTTTTATATTATAATGTGTTTAATGATGTCAATGATTAAAGCAAAACCAACAAAAACCTGTAAAGGACTCAATACTTTCAGGGCTGTAAAAGCTGTACACATATATACATATAAAAGTTCTGCAGATTCTGATTTTAGCGCTGCAGATTCAAAATATCCAACTATAAAATGAGAACTGAACACCTTCCGTGACTAAAGTGGGACAGACGTTAGTCACAGCAGTCAAACAGCGCAGCGAAGAGTTAGAAAGCTGAACTTCAGGTCAAAGCAGCGGTGAAGCGACACACATCAACCCATGTTTAAAGCTAACGACTGGAAACCCTGAAGCAGATGGGGTCCGCAAAAGCCTCGGGTGACACCTGAGGCTCACAGCGCCCCCCAGAGGCCGGTCCCTTAGCAAAGCTGGGGGGCAGAGAAGCTACTCCGTGCAGAGCCACGGATTGCTGCAAAGGAAAGTGAAACCACACACACCAGTGAGCTGAAAGATGGATGAATGCAACGCCTCTTTATCCATTATTTCACCATGCTGTTGGGTCATAACTGTGGAAGTCCATTACCGCCAAAACTAAAACTTTAACATGACACAATAAATCATCAAAAAGCAGCTATGACATAATTAAGTCATTTTTGCACCAATGTTTTCAGATAAAGAAGCCATACATTTATGTAAGATAGTATCTAAGGATGCAAAATACATCAGCCGATGTTAGTCAAAATGTTAGTCAATTTTACCATATCTGTGCTGGTCCAATAAGTAAAACTGGGCCGATATTAACAATCACTGTTTATTTCCGTCTTGTTGTCATTTGTGTTTCGAGTACAAATGAATGCAAAACTTTGTCAATATTCCACTAATGTTGAAAAAAGTACATATATATTTGCAGTTGCAGTGTTTTGACTTTATATCTTTGTGGTTTTATGACGCAAAGCACTTTGAACTGCCGTGCTGCTAAAGTGTGCTATACAAATAAACTTGAGAAGCTAGACTGATAAATATGAAACGCAACTAAAAATCACACATGAATAAGTTTGTTCATGCGATAAGTCATTAAAAAAATGCAACGCCATCTTCCTTCTAGCACTTCCTGTTGTCTTCTTTGCAGTTTGTGCCAGTGGCAACAAACTGGTTGTTGATCATGTGATGCAAAAAAAAGTTTTGAGAGATAAACCAATTTTAGTTAAAGTGAAAAACTACCTCATCCTAGTGCCAAAGCATTTTAGCAAAAAAAAGTTTTTGGCACATTTTCATTAAGCAAATTTATTAAAAAATGCTAAATTGTGTAATTATATGGTCAATGGAAACACAGCTAGTGTCAATGGTGTGATAATGTTGTGTAGGGAAATTTATAATACACATTGTGTCAGTAAATAACGGTTACCGATCACAATAAAAATATTAATATTGGGCATCGATGTTGGTTCAAATGATCAGATCAGTGCATCCCAAACTACTTATGAAAGTGTCTAAATATTTTGAGATATTCAAAAAGATATTCAATATTCTCAGAAAAGGCAGAATAGAAATTTATTGCTTCTTTACTTCAGTGGGAAAATTTTATATTTAGTTAAAATAAACTATTAAGTTATGGTATGGTAATGACTTTTTCTGCATGTCAGTGGTAGCAATGGGCTTCCGTACATTAAATCCACCACAGCCTGAAACAGATGGGTAATG